GCAAAGAGATTAGGGGAAGAAGAGAGGAGAGGCGGAGGAACAAAAGTTAGGGCTTGTTGTAATGTTGGTGTAGACGTATAAAAAAATAAGGCTTTTTTCGCAACGTTTTAAAAACGTTGCCAAAGGTAAAAAATTTCGCAACACTGCCAAAACGTTGAAAAAAGGCTACATTAGCAACATTTACTTAAAAAATGTTGCCAAAACTCAATTTTGTTAAGCAATAACAACATTCACGTATTAGAATGTTGTGATAGACCCTTTTAGCAACATTTAACTACCGAATGTTGACTTTTTATGTGTTGCAAATAGTGTTTTTTTGGTGTAGTGATATATTCTTACTATTGGTTGTTCCTAGTAACATTTTGGAGCTACTCGAGTAGTCTTTCTTGGTAATTTTCCTATTGGTTGTTTTCCTATCTATCTTACTGGATTTCACACAAATGACTCGACGGCTTATGACCAACAATTTCATTGCCGTAAAGACTTCAATAACTTCTCGATGTTTCATAATGAGCTTTTGCAACGAGCTATTGAGGAGTTGAAGATTGATTATCCAAATACTGTTATTATCTATGACGATTATTACAATGTGTTCACATGGGTCCTATCTCAAGCGCGATTTCACGGTAAGAAAACATTATTTATTAATTTTTACGAACTATTTGTAGTTCGGGTTGTTGTCAAGGTCAATGACTAATTTTTATTTTTCTAAATTTTTGTAGGATTTGATTTGAATTCAGTACAAAAAGCTTGTTGTGGAGCTGGAGGGTCTTATAACCTTAATCCGAGGAAGATGTGTGGTGCTCCAGGGATTTTTGCCTGTCCTAATCCGTACAGTTATATTAGCTGGGATGGGATTCATCTTACTCAACATGCACATAAATTAATGGCGGAATGGTTGATACGAAGCATCTTTCCTCAGTTGCAATTCCAAATTTAAAAGCCATTATTCATTAATTTGGATTGTTCTAGTTTTCACCGCAAAATCTCATGGCGCGTTTTGTAAGGTCGACTGTCAAAAATTGTTTCTAATATCACATACGAAGCAATAAGATGACAGAAATAACCATTCAGCTATGTATGCAGGCACACTTTAGCAGCCTTACGAGCATCACACTATCTGAGTTTTCACTTGCTTCACAACTACTACGATCTCCACATAACTTTCTATAACCACGAAAGAAAAAATTTGTTACTATTATGACTCAGAGATGGCAACGGGCCGGGGCCCCACCCCCCCGCCCCGCCCCGCCCCGTCTCGCCCCAATTTAGACAGGGCGCGGGCGGGGTGGGTTTGGGGCGTGGGCTTGCCCCGTTCAATTTTTTTTTTCAAAAACTTTCAATTAACTATTTTTTGTTTTTAATTTATAGTTAATTATTTTTCTCAGCCCATTAAGCTCAAGTCTCTCAAGTAATTTTGAAACAGAGACCCTAACTTAAACCATTATCCCAATTCCCAATCAACTAATCAACCCTAAACTTTGCTTGAGCTCCACTGACACACTCCAAATATTGGCATTTCGATGAAATTTATCCAAATTGACTTGGTCGGCTTCGATCTTGGGTCCACCCAACATGACTTACCAATTATTCCAACTAACAACTTCACTCACACTGAAAAAAAAAAAAAAACACTTCTCGCTCCGTCCTTGGTTATATAGTTCGTGCTAAGCGATTTCTTCAACGGTCTGCATTCACGGAAACCGTGATTAAGCCAACATTCCAAAAGGGTATTTTGTGATTTATGTTGGTGAAAGTGAGAAGACGATATTCGTCATTCAAATATTGTACTTTGAAACATGTCCTTTCAAGAATTGTTAAATCAAGATGAAGAAGAATTCAGGTTCGATCATTCGATGGGAGGCCCTACAATTCCGTTCAGAGAAGATGTATTTACTCATCTCATCTCTCAGTTGAATGGCATTTGAAGAATTGGCTTCCTTCTTTAGAAAGCAAATTTGGAAAGTAGTAGAGTCATGTACAGTTTATGTAGAAGTGAAATTATTGTATCCCCATGAGATAAATCATTTTATATATGCAAAATGATAACACTTCTTTTGATATTATGAGTCGGTTTTCGAGCAAATTAAGGACCCAATTCACATAATTTTTATTTTTGCTTCTATTTCTATGAGAAGAGATGTGTAAAAAAATAGATTCTTAATCTCAAAAACAACTTTTGGCTTTTCAAAAATCACGCCAAACAGGCATTAAGCCAATTTTGGAATTGAAATTTATTGCTCAGTCAAATTCTCCATCTTCACCTTCCATAACTAAAATTTTCTGGAAAAGAATGCTTAATGCTAGGCTCTTATGGTACTCTGTTATCTTGTTTTCTCCATGTAGTACATCTTGATAAGTTATGTAACTCTACTATATACAAGTAGCATTATTCATGTTCGATACATACTATTAGACAAGACTAGAAGTGTAAAAATGAATCGAGTAGTCCAGCCTTGCACAGAAACCCATGGTATGGCCGCATGGGCTGACCAAGAAAGGGCCATACCACTCCAACATTGCCTTTTTACGACGGTATCACATTGTAGACATATCTCTTTGCGACAAAGTACCACAAATTGTATTAAGGGTCCATTTGGCATGATCTTTGTTTTTATTTTTACTTTCTGTAGAAGAATTTTTGGAGGAAGCTATTTTAATTTTTATTTGAAAATTAATTTTTAAAAGAGTTTTCTATTCCGAAAGTGTTTGTTAAGAATATTGGGCCTAACTCCACCTAATAAAATCGGCTTATTAGGGGAGGATTGCCCTCACCTTATAAAATTGATCATTTATATTTTCCCAAGTAATGTGGGATTCTAATACGCCCCCTCACGCACAGCGTGGACCATGCCAAACAACTGTGAACAAATCGATATTGGGTGGCACCCAACATTGCATAATTGAGCTTAGCTCTGATATCATATTAAAGAATTGGGGGTCCATCTTAAAAGGTTAACCTTATTAAGAGGAGTAGCCCAAGATCTTTATTAATTGGTCTGTGTCAACATCTTTATTCGATGTGGGATTATATCCCTTAACACGCCCCCGCAAGATGGTGGCTCATTTGAGCAGACCAATCTTGAAATTCACGTGCTCACTTTTTGGAGTCTTACCGGGATCGAATAGCTCGTTGGAGTATAATGGACTCTGATACCATGTTAAGAATATTGGGCCTAACTCCACCTAATAAAACCGGCTTATTAGGGGAGGATTGTCCTCACCTTATAAAGTTGATCATTTATATTATCCCTAGCAATGTGAGATTCTAATAGTGCTTTTAGAGAAAGTAACATTAGACCAACTTCCTCTAAAAGTTCTTTTAACTATAAGAAGCACTTTTATAAAATTAGTCAAACGAGTACTAAGAACATTTTAAAGAATTTCTGAATGTTTAGATGATTTGGAGTATAGTAATTGATTAGAAATGTTTTTGTTATGGTTTTCTATCAAAAAACCATCTATATATAGATCAAAATATCCTAAGTAAGAATAGATACAAACGTTGATGAAAAGACGCCACTTTTTTTGAAAAAACTGAACCAGAAATAAGCCTTACAGCTAGTTTCGGAGACCTCCAGAAAAGCCGGATCCTGGACCATGAAGCAGAACCAAAATCTCTGCTTTCGGCTTAGCTTCAGGCAGCCCACAGAAACTAGCTAGCGGCCTCCAGTTGAGCACTTCAAGTTGTAGTTTTGCCCTCTTCCTTATTTTCCACTCTGGTTCAATCTCCACCTTTTTCATTCATTCAAACACGACTTTCGCAACTTGAAGAGTATCCAAAACATCCTTATTTTCGTTGTAATAATTTCGACAAATTTCAACAAATTATCCTTACACTCTTAGACACAGCCTGTGGATTACTTTCCTCATAAATACCTTTGAGACTCCTCTTTCTTTCCTTTTTTTTTTTTTTCATTCAAAGTTTTGCTTTATGTTTCATGCACAAAAATGTCCTAGCTCAAAAACAATGGCCCTTAGGAAATCAAACAAGCTGCCACAGACAGCAGTTTTGAAACAAATTTTCAAAAGATGTTCAAGCTTAGGCAAAAAAGCATGGATATGACGAAGATGGCCTTCCGTTTGACGTACCAAAAGGCCATTTTGCAGTGTATGTTGGTGAAAACAGAAGCAGATTCATAGTTCCCATATCATTTTTATCTTGCCCTGAACTCCAGTGCCTTCTCCAACGCGCCAAAGAAGAATTCGGGTTTGATCATGATATGGGACTCAATATCCCTTGCCAAGCAGAAGTTTTTCTCTCCTAAGTTCAATGTACAGATGAAAGGATGAATTTGTTTGGAGAAAGATGGTCAAGATGAGGCAGTGCATTGCCGTCTTATTTACCTTTTTCACATCTTTTTTTCTATTGCAATTGATTTTCTTAACCCTCTATTTCAGCCCATTTGGATGTCTGTATAATATTTCTGGTGACAATATCATTATTTTCTGGGTTAGATTTGTAAAAAGTTAAAAAGTTTCCTCCACCTTGAAAAATTAAGTTAGCAAAGACTATTACCTGTTTCTTCTTCATTTGTTTCTTGTTGATTACATGCAAGGGCTAATTCGTAGGCAAGTCTTGTGCTGTCATAAATGGAAGAAGCTTCATTTAGAGTCGAGAACTTTTTCATAAAATCTCATTTGGTTTTCTGGCCTTCAAAAAAGGGAGACGCATGGAATGATTGACCATTGCGTTGCTTTGCGTTCAAAACATACCATCTTGAGTTTTCCATATTAGATTGGACATGTTTTATCTGATTCTATTCTTTAAAAAGCTTTGTATGTCTAGATGAATTGCGTGGTTACATTTTACATAAGTTCCCAAATTTTTTGTACGCGGTCTAGATTGTATATATTTTCTCTAGACATATCCAGTAAATCACCATGTTGAGTTGACATGATTCATCTTGCTGATCTAGTACCTCGCATCCCAAGTTCGAAGTAGATGAACTCCAATAATTGGGGACTTTGGTATTCGACTAGTGGCCTATTGTTGGTTCGTGTTCATGAAACTTGTGGAACGCATGAAATGCTTGGTAGTGTGGCCAGCCAACACCTATATAATCTTTTCTTTTTTGTTGTTGCTCTGTGCATATTTGCAAGGATTTAGCAGTTTTGATAGCATCTTAAATAGATGTCACGATAAGGTTGCGATCATCTACACTAAATCATGCACGATGATTTTTTTTTTTTTTGTTGACGTAGGAACCTGTAACCGTTGCCCGCCAGCGGAGCCCCGACCACCCCGAAGGGGCAAAGCCCGACCACTATGAGTGCGCACTAGGAAAACCCCGCTCCATGCGCAATAACCCGCAAACCATACAGGAGAGGTAAACTGCACTAGGCAAGTTCAGAGCGACGAGCTCGACCGAGGAAGTGTTGACAGGGAATTCGAACTTGTGACTTTTGATCTTCGCGTTCACCTACTCCACCAACTCGACCACCCCCGAAGGGGTTGCACGATGATTTTCTTACTTCTCCCTTATATCTTGATCAACAAATCACTAGTATTATAGCCGATATGATCCCAGAAAAATCTATGCTCTCTGTAACCATAAGGTTGTTACCAGACGCACAGTTTATGGGCATCTCTTGAGTCTAGAGGTGGCAAAAAAGCTCGGCAGCTCGGACGGCTCGGGCTCGGCTCGGGAAAAGCTTGAGCCGGGCCCGGCTCGGGCTCGGTTGAACCGAGCCGAGGCTCGGGCCGAGCCCCATGTGGGGGCTCCGAGCCGAGCACGGGCCGGCCCATGTCACGGGCCAAAATGGCCCGTGTTATTTAAAAAAAAAAAAAAAAAATTTAAATTGAAGCTAAGCTGCCTGTGTGAGGCAGCTACAACTGTGGTCAAGTTTTAAGTGACGAACGATCAAGACTAAAAGAAGATATATTGGAGGCTTTAATATGTTTGAAGGACTGGGAATGTGCGGAATTACGTCTTCAAGAACAAGTTGATAGTATAATGGCCGATGAGTTACAGCAGATTAAAGCATAAGATATTGTAAGTTTTTAAATTGTTTAGTTTCAATTCAATACGTAATTTTTAATTTTTTTTTT